ACACACACACACACACACACACACACACACACACACACACACACACAAAACACTGGTTTAAAATACATCTCGCTAACCGTTAGAACCGTGAGGAGTTAGCCATAACGTCACCTATAGTTGGTGAGGACGGTCTTGTTCACCACGACGATGAGGAACGAGCTCACACCGTAGAAACCAGCGGCGACCAGCTTCACAAACAGAGGTTTGTCCGCCATCCCCGACGAGTGCTCATTCCTCTGTGAGCGTCGGCTCTTCTTCCTCTGCCATCATCACTCTACTGGCTACACATACACACACGCATGCGCGTTGTGTATTGTATGTGCGCATGCGCGTTGTGTGTTTGTATGTGTGTGTGTGTAGCCAGTACACGGTGGGGGGACCGTCGACGTTCCACAACTTCCGCCTCAAATCTGATTATCACAGAGCTTTAAGAGAATTTAACCTTCTTTCATGCTAAATAAAATAAAATATGTGTATTTTTTTCCCACACACTTTATTTTTTGCCTTTTCATTAAAGACAGAACACATACATACAGAAAGAGAAAATAAATAAATAAATAAATAAAAAATAAAATGAAATGAAATGAAATAAAATAAAATAAAATAAAATAAAATAAAATAAAATAAAATAAAATAAAATAAAATAAAATAAAAAATAAATAAAAAATAATAAAATAAAAAAAGATCTGGATTGCTCTGTCCCCTCAAAATCATGATAAATCCTGAGAAATATGCAGGGATTCTTATCTTGTCTTATCGTTGACGTGTAAACATTGTCCATTTCTCCCACGTCTCACGACATCGCTCCTCTTGAGTTCTTATTCTGAGTTCACAGTTCCATATCATACATTTCATTCACAATTTTCAGCCAACCCTCTTGTGATGGTGGTTCTGCCTTGTGCCTTCTCTTCGTAATAGCCTTCTTACAAGCTGCTAGCAACATTTTCAGCAGATACCCGTCTTCTCTTAACCCAATATCTGCTGTTATATTACCAAAGTAGAGAAACATACATGACATAGGTATATCATAGCCCAGAATTTTGACTAACAATATGGACATTTCCCCAATTTCCGGACATAGCCAAACTAAATGGGAGTGGTCTACATTTCCTGCCCACATTTCCTCCAACATGGTTGAACAATAGACAGACATTTGTTTGTAATTTGGGGAGTAATAAAGAATCTGATTACATTCTTCCAACAATGTTCTCTCCAAGTACGCGAGGATGTTGAAGACTGTTGTGTCCTCCAAATATTCAACGTTCATCCTCCTCTGTAATATACACACCAAGTTCTTGTTCCCATTTCAGTTTTACATAAAATGTTGTATTTCCTAAGTTTGTTTAACTTTTAAACAAGTGAAAAATGAGTCCAGTAACTTTTTTTCCAGTATGTTATTTTGAAGAAGAGACAGTTTGGACACCATGCATCAATGTTATGAAAAACGGATTTAATTGAACTCAACATAGGTCTGAAAAAAGCATATGTTTTAAAACATTTACTGACACCAAATGGTATGAATTCCCACTTATTTGAGTATTTGACGAATCTGTTGAATCATTTCATAAAGCAGTTTACCGGGTCATATAGCCAGGGTCACCCTGAACTGTTGCATTCAAAATGTCAACAAAACTCTGAAGAAAACGATTTCATGAGTTTTGAAATCACATTTTTTTTGTAACGTTTTATTTTGAGGTGATTTTTCTAGTTGTAGTCAGAGTCATTCTGAAGAGGACTTGAACATTTTAGCAAACCTATTAAGGATGTTTTTAATATGAAATATGAGGAAACTATTAATGTTATCAAGTAGTTTGTCCTAGTTTCCCTTTACATTTCTCAAAAAACTGTACGGTTAACCATCTTTATTATCTTTATTAAATTTGCCAGGGTCATATGAATACGACTCCACTGAACATTTCAGCAAACCTCTGAATAAAATGTATTTGTCTAATTTATGAGAGTTTTGAAACGAGGACAAAATTAGGACGCTGAGCTTTGAGTTATAACAAAGCCAAATGTGATTGTAAAGATTCTGTATTTCTGACGACAAATAAGACGGAGGAGCAGGAATACAGTGGTGGAAGAAGTACTCCTTTTCTGAAGTAAGTAAAAAAACTCTATTACAAGTTAAATTTCTGGATTCAAAATGGTATTTAAGTACAGAAGTATTATCAGCTAAAAGTATCAAAAGTAAAATAACTAATTATGCAGAATGCCTCCTTTAACAGGTCTAAACAATATTATATTCTGTTTTTATCACAAATTAAAACATGTCAGAGTATTTTAATGTTCATAAATGTGGAGCTAATTATATATACTTTGTATACTACTGGGTGGATTAGTAGTACTGCATCAGATCATGTGATTTTTTTTATGCAGAAAGTAACTAAAAGCTGTCAGATAAATGTAGTACTTCTAAGTTGGAGTAGAAGTATAAAGTAAAACTGAGTGGACGTAGATAGTTTTCATTTTAAACAGAAACGTATTAGTGTGTATGTAGCCTGAGAGACTCCACTGGGAGGAGGACTAGTCTTGTCTGATGGAGTCTATAAAGAACAAAGGGAAGACGCTGGAGGAGAAGAAGCAGGAGTAGGTGGGTACAAAAAAACAGAGGCTTGATGGAGAAATGTATGACACTCGTCTGGTCTCCCATTTAGCCTTTGAGCCGGGTTGTAACATATACAAGCACATTCCCCAGACTTATGAACCCAGTGGGTGATATGTTCTCATTTGTGTTTTAATACCACTTCAGTCATCGAGTCTAATAGGAAAAGTATCCTTTAGAAGTAAGTGCCATCCTGTAGAGCGAGAGAGAGATATCTAATTATACATGAGTGCCACCGACTGAAGGCCAACTTCTTGACCTGACCTTGTGTCGTGGTCCATGTGTATTTTGGCAGGTGGCTGTGGGATAAAAAACCTGACGTGTCTCCGATAAGAAATGTGTCTCTGCATGTGCCACGTTGCCAAACAGACAGCGGAGTTGTTGGGTCAAACCCTCATTCATTTCTTTTGGGGTAAAAAAGAGCCATGTCTGGGCTCAACGCGTCTCTGGGATACTTCCTGGCTGTTGTCATTTTTGCGGCCCTGGTCCAAACGCTCTTTAAAAGATGGCCTCGGTTCGCCTTCGTCTTGGAGTTTGCGTCCTCTTTCATGCTGGTGGCGTGTCGGCTGGAGGTGCAGACCATCGTGGAGGTGGGCGAGTGGGCCGGGGGCCTGGGTCCTGATGTGACTCTGACCGTACTGTTCCTGGTGCTGCTGACGCACGGCGTGATCTGCGGCGACGCGTCGGGGAACCCCACCCTGGTCGTGCTGAAGTTCCTGCAGCTGGAGGCCACCACCTTGGCCACTCTCCTGGCCGTTGCAGCCCAGTTTCTCGGGGCCCACCTGGCCCTCCACGTGGCCGCATACTACTGGAGTCTGGAGCTGACGGACATGCACATGATCAAAAACCTGATGGCGAGAGAGTGCAGCACGTCTCTGCTGGTCTCTCTGCTTCAGGGTTTTTTCACCGAGTGCGTTTGCACGCTCGTCTTACATCTAGTCCTTCTGAACCTGAGACGCAGGTCTGCTCTGATCCGCGTGCCTCTGATCGCGGTTTTCCTCACCTTCCTGTCCCATATAGGTAAGACTCAGTGGAATCCTCTTTTAATAGCATCTTTAATCTGTGTAGTAAACAGTGGCTAACATTAACTGTATTTGTCAATTATTTTTCTTTTTGCAGCCAAAGGCTACACCTCAGCTTACATGAGTCCCTCCTTATCTTACGGCCTCACCTTCCAGTGTCCTGGATTCACCTTCTCACAGTACGCGGTGGTCTACTGGCTGGGCTCTCTCACAGGTGAATTACATTAAAGTGAAATATATACACGCGTCCGCTCTTTAAGAAGCGAACGCACCGTTTACAGTGAACGTCTGTTTCCTAGGCATGATTCTGGCTCTCCTCATGTACACGGGCCACATCCCGAGGATCTTTGCCAAGAACCTTCTGTACTTTCAGAAGACACGTTTCCGAGTGAAGAAGGCCGACAAAGCAGAGAAGAAGAAACTGTGAAAGAAACTGCAACCTTTTTTTTATTACTTTTCAAATCAGCCTTTAAGGAAAAGTAGCTGACAACGAATGGTCAAGAGATTTTTACTGTACAGAAAATGTTAAATATCCTTGTCAATCATTTTCAATAAAATCATTACCATCGATGAAGTTCTACTTTTAGGAACAAAAACAGCACTTTAAATGTGTAGCACACCACATGGTGGCCATCTGCTGGCAGCATCACACTGTGACAAACAGAGAAGTTCTGAAACTATTTCATCCTTCTCCATTCCTTTACCTGAACTTGTTTTTCGGCCGACACCGAGCACCATTCTGATACCAGTGCGTTTAAAAAAATAAGTTTACAAGATCATATTTCCCTCTCTAATAACCATTTTATATTGCTGTGAAAACATCTCCATCAAACTGTTTTCATTTACGTTTCACGCCAAAAACTTTTACATTTGAAAACATCTTGGTAACTATAATTTACATTCGCCCAATACTCATTTTTACTGAATGGATCTTGAATGCATCGTAATGTAACTCAATGGAACCTCTGCTCACATTAGCTCCTGTATTTAGCGGAGGAGGACTGTGCTAACCGCTAACGTTAACTAGCTCTCCTGCTGATTTCAACAGATTTGTTGTTCAAAATGAAACTTTATCACCAGGGAGAAAGTCCAGTGCACGAGTGTTTAATTACAGGTGTGTGGGACTAGTTTGCACATGTGCAGTAGTGTTCAGGCAGGATGTTTGGATCAGGTAGAGAGTGACGCTTGTTTTTGTTGTTCCCGTGTAGCGTGAAGGAGCTTATAAACTATATAATAACATATCATCACGTCGGTGCATAGACTCGATACCATATTCAGCATTCTAGACATTATTAGAGTTATTACTGATACTGAACAACTCAAGTACACACTGCACAAAGATACTGAAGATGATCTCACAGAGGCCAAGAATGCATTAGAGGTTGTGGATAACATAACACAGTTACACATTTCTTCACAAAAAGAAAAGAAATACCAGTTCTTCATATTTCCCGGTCAGAGGACTGCTGCTACGTGCTGCCGCTGCTCTGAGCAGCTCTGGGTTTAGAAGACGCTGACTCGGCAGGTTTTTTGTCTTTTGGTTGTTGTTTTTTAGTAGAAGGGCCTGGACCTGAAAGAAAGAATACACTATGGTCAGTGCCAAGAAGTGATTGACGGTTAATCTGTCAGCCTATTAATGCCGACAACGCAGAACCTTTCAAAACCCGATGTGCGTCGACCACTAGGACCAAGTGTTTCCCCTTTTTAACTCATTATTGCCTCACTGGGAGTTGAAACATTAAAATAATCTTGATGCTTCAGAGCAGACTACTGTTTAGATAAGTACAGTGTGTCCATAGAGACATTCCTCTGTGAGGCCGGTGCAGAGTGCCGAGTCGGGGTTTTGTCACCTGGCTGCTTCTGCTGCGCCTCTGGACGGTCGACCCACAAACAATGGTCCGGGTCATTCAGCAGCGTCTTGCTCTGCTCACAGCTGAGGCACCTCACGACAGTGAAGCGGGCCTTCCTGTTTTTTCCTAAAAACACAAAGTCGACACAAAGAAGGTCAGTGTGTCTGAATATGCGTCTTTAAATCTACCCGACAAATTGAGATTAAGCCCATAAATTTTTTTTGGCGTTTATTTGTGCCCAAGCAAGAAATTATATTTTGATTAGAAATTATGCGCAAGCAAAACATTCTATTAATCTAATATGTGCTCAGTATATTAATTTGCAAGTTTGCTATTATCCAATATGAGTAAATGAGTTATTATGGCACGTTAATATGGACGTTAGCAAACATGCAAATTAATTTATTGAGCACAAAATACATCTTTGTTGTTCAAATGAAATAATTGTTGCTTGTGTAAAATTGTATTTTCAAAAAGTCATTGCTGTGCTTGCAAAATATATATTTATAAATATGTTTCTGTACTTTAAATCCCACACAGGAATGGTGCACAGATACAACGCCGTAGATCTGGACCCTCAGTATAAATGGTGAACTGACTTACTTCGTTGTCTTGTTGAAGCAGTGACACCCGGGACGAGCAACGAGCAGCACTTCTTGCATAATGTTCTCTTTACTGACGGGTCTCTGCAATAAAATCCACAATTAGACTTAAAAGGTTAAATTAGGTTAGACTTAAAGGTTTCTCTTGTTGGCTGAAAGTTACTTTGAGGAACTTTTAACTGGTTCTGAACTATATATTGCTGGCTTTAATCTGCAATAATGCATTATAAATTATTAGTTGATTTATATTCTATATTAATAATCTTAATCTGCAAAGTAACTAAAATTATCAGATTAATGAAAAGTAAAAAGTATAATATTTCCCCCTGAGATGTAGAATAAGTAGTAAGTAGCACAAAATAGAAATACTCAAGTTAAGTACCTTTAAAAGTACAGTACTTGAGTAAATACTGAGTTTTAGTTTAATTATTCTTTTTTTTTGATGAGCTTTATTGACGTAAACAAGCAGGCACATGTGTCTAATGATGAAGCCTAAAAATGTAATAATTTTTAGTGTGTGTGTGTATGTACATTTGATCCTTGTGCAAAAAATAAATAAGAAAATAAAACATTAACTCTGCCTTCAAAATAAACACTAGTGGACATTAAAAGATAAACTTACTGTCTGAGAACTAAACGTCTCGCGATGGTCTTCTGTGTGAAGCAGTAGAAACGAGCCAGCTCCACATTTTCCGGGTTTTGTGATAAAACACAGTGTGCAGCCTGGAAAGAGATGTTAGCATGTTAGCCCCGTGACTGCTGCCGTTAGCATCGTGACAGCGATCATGTTTCCCCTCTTTGTTTGTTTCCTACCTGGTAAAGATAGTTCAGTCTTTGGTAAGCGTCTTTATCTTTCATCTGGGCTGCCATTTCACACAAAAGTCTGGAAAAACTAAATTCAGTAGAAGTTTCCGTGCAGCGGCTTTTCGCTTTCAGCTAGCTTACAGCAGCCGGACCTCAACCACGGCTACACTTCCGGACAATACCTCCAAAATAAAAGCACCAAATATGCTCAAACCAACAAAAACAAAACCTGCTTTCAAAATGATTGTGAACGTCCTACTTCAAAATAAAGACACCTCGCGCTCTGTCACTTACATCCTAAACATATATCTGCACTTCCTGTAGAGAATAAAGTTAAAGGCATAAAGCTATCACTATTAATAAATAAAACTCTTCATTGGTTCCACTTCAAACATTCAGTACAGACAGAAATGGTTATTGCACCGCTTACATCGCTATAGTCTCATATTTGTTTTATACAATAAGGTGATATTCCTCGACAACAATTACAATAACAGTTTATTTGAGTGTGCAGACAAGTTTGTTAGTCGTCCAGAAGAAAAAAATAAACTAATTGTCTTCATCAGCCTCCGACAGCTAACCACTATGGCTAAACTAAACATTAAGTACAAAATATACACATAAGAAAAATACATTTGTTTAGTCTAGAAGAGCACAAAAGGACAGAGTTCAACATACAATACTCATTTTTTAATAACAATAGAGAAGAGAGTATAAACCCTGTCAATCTAACATGTTAAACGTTTGCCTGTAAGGTGCAGCTCTGGTATCAGGAAACTAATGGGGGGGGGGGGGGGGTCTGTTAGGTGTGTTCATGATGACGAATGTACATAAATGTTTCCTATAAAAACAAAAACGGAGAAAATGTCCATAAAACACGATGTGGAAATAGCAAATAGTGTTCATTGAATGAGACCAACTAGATCACAAGAAAAGGGACAAATATGAAATTCAAGTATCAAAATAAACTAAGAAGCTGAGAAGGTAAATTACAAAGGTAGTAAAAATCACAGGAAGAGAAACTTCGACACAATCAACAATACATTAGGCAACGTTTTGCATTTGTTTAAGGCAGTTGATTAAAAAACAAACAAACTAAAATAGAACTAGGCATCTTCTTCATTCCAAGTTAAACACGAGCTCTAACTTGTCACCAGATCTGTTGTACAAAATAACTACGCCCGACTCAGAAACTAAGCACTTCAGTTTGACTTCTGACATCTGAGTGAGGACAGAGTTCATATGGACAGCGGTGGAGTTGTGCTCCACGTTTCTTCTTTTTGGTCTTCTTCACAGTGAGGTTTGTCAGGGCTTCTTAAGGCTGGTGCTTCATGAGTGGAGAGTCACTCTCAGCCTATTGTCTGGCACAACAAAAATAATTCTAAAACGGTTGGCACGTATCTGTGCACAGCAATGGGGAAGGGCAGGGTGGCTAGCGTCATGAGCTAACGGTTAGCCTTCATGAGCTAACGGTTAGCCTTCATGGCCTCCTTGGATGCCAAGATGAGAGGCGTGAGGCTGGAGAGCGGCTTCGCCAACTTCAGGAACGGATGCTGCACACAGAGGAGGAGAAAGAGGAAGAGGAGGATAAGGAGGAGGAGGGAGAAGAAGGAGAAAACAATTTTAATGAAGTGCACTTCTTTTTTTTTTATCAAAACAAGAAACGTTTACAGAAAGAAGAGTTATGTGTTTTTTACCTGCAGCAGCTCTTTGCCTCCTCCTCTTTTCTCCACGTCCATTTCCAAACAACGGTTGAGGAAGTCTCTGAAGACCGGAGACAGCTTCTCCGGGTTCTGGAGCTCAGGTGTGCCGTTTGTGGCAATCAGGTATAAAGCCTGTCGGAGGAGGACGAGACCAGAGGAGGAACAAAGAACAAATGTGAAATCTAGTTTCAGGAAATAACACGAAACAGCAAATTAATGAAGTCAAACTGGGCAAAGTGAGGACATTTAAAAAGTCTGATCTGTTTTTAATTCATATTTTGAAATAACTAAAGGATAGAACATGCTTTCACTCACTCGTAGTGGGTTCTCGTTCAGGTAGGGAGGCTCTCCTTCAACCATCTCAATGGCCATGATACCCAGTGACCAGATGTCCACTTTGGGCCCATAAGCCTTTCTGGTCACCACCTCCGGAGCCATCCAGTAAGGCGTTCCCACCATGGTGCTGCGCTTGCTCTGCTCCGGAGTGATCTGGGCGCAGAAGCCAAAGTCGGCTGTCGAGGACACGAAGAAGAAGAGTAATAAATACCAAGTTACAGAGAACGAGTTTAACGTCAGTGCAGCGACTTACTCAGCTTCACGGAGCCGTCCATCCCAAGTAACACATTGTCACTTTTGATGTCTCTGTGAATGACCTGGTTCGCATGCAGGAACTCCAACGCTTGTAAACACTGCGGGTATGGAGACAAAGAGGAGAGAGAGTGAGACGCTGTTGAGAGTTAAAGGGACAGTAGTGATGTTCTGTAGTGTGTGTGTATGAGGTTCTCCTCCACATTCAGGGTTCTACTACAGTAGATGAGTTCATAGAAAACAGACAGGAGAACCAGCACGGGAGCAAAGTAATGTTCTGCTGTGGACGTATTCTAGACTCCTAAAAGAATGTCTATCAGTTTAAGTGAAGCTATATTTAGAATAATATTAAAATATTCTAAGTGTGACTTTGACCTCTTTTCATACAGTCCTGGTAGTAACGAGAGCAGCGTACCTCTCTGCAGACAGCGGCTATCTGAGCCTCGTCCATACAGGTCTCTGTGACCACGTCTGTCAGCGAGCCTCCAGCCAGATATTCCATCACCACAAACAGCTCCTCCCCCATCAGGAAACTGACACACACACACACACACACACACACACACACACACACACACACAAAACATCACACACTGGTGTCCAGCCATGTTATTGTGATGGATGTCTTTTGGTTTACTTTCAGTCCTACCTGTCTACGAAGTTGACGATGTTTGGGTTCTTCAACTCCTTCATCACTAGAATCTCGTTGATGATCAGCTCCTTCTTCGGCTGCTTCTGCAGGTTGATCTGTTTAATGGCGACCTGTAACAAGAACGCGTCAGAGAGCAGATATTTAGAATCAACAAAATGTGATTCGTAAGTTATAACATCCAACATTTCAAACCTTCCCTCGGTCCTTATTATGACTGCATAAGTATATGATCTATACACGTTTACCTGCTTTCTCTGATTGTCTTTTATCTCTTAAAGTAAAGTACTTAAAACAAGAAGATGCAACTTTTGAAAGAATAAAACAGGTTCTTCGTCTGATGAAAACATAAAACACACCCTTGCTCAATTCAACGTACTTTGTCGATACAGCATGCTGACCAATGTTATCTAACTTTAAATATATATTGCTGTTTTAACTACAGGGTCAGTTTACTTCTTTATTTACCATCATCTCATAATTATCACTAGCTGCCACCATGGCAGCTGTTACTCTTATCTTCCATGAGTCATTTATTTATTTTAAACGTCATGAGCTCCACTACTCTACTGTTGTGTCCCTGGTTAGTCTCTCCTCATCCATGAGGTCACTCTTTACCTCTTGTCCCGTGGCCACATCGATGGCTGTGAACACGGTTCCTGAAGCCCTGTGAGACAAATGAGACGAGCGATTCAACTTCAGTCCACATTTTAACAAACAGTCCACTCAAACTAGTCGGCATAAGTTTTGTTCACAGACGTATTTAGAATGATAATACTGCTGGAATCTGTCTCATTGTCTCATAGTTCTGATCTCGTTGGAGGTATCTGGCTTCATAAACCTGACACTGATTACATTGACATGCACACTAATATTACACTATTACTCAGAGTTTGATACGGGTCATGTAAACAGAATTAGGCCTTTTTCTGAATGCAGCATCTTCTGATTAAGACATGCGGGACATGTGACACGGTTAGCGGCTGTAGTTCGGTAGACAGAAAGTAGTTCCTTCATGGAACTGCTCACAACAACGTCTGTGGACTGTCTTAAGTAACCGGGTCTGGAAGGAGACGTTGCTGTGGAGTCTTTCAGATGTAGAGTGCCATCTAATCACAGTCAACAGTTTCAACAGTCAAAGTTGAAATCCAAGTGTGAGCACATCGAGGGAGAAAGTTTAAGAAATGTAAATGGAACAGAACAAAAAGGAACAGATTTTGTTGAGAAAGAAGGCCCTATTGCTATTATTATTATTATCATAAAAGTAATATTCATGATAGTAGTTCACATAAAAACTTAAGTCCTACTAAAGGTTCCGTTGGATCTGCACTCACCCCTGACCGATTTTTTCATATCTGGTGTATTTCTTCTTGGGATCTCCGATGCTGACTATCGTTCCTGTAAGAAATATAACGTTCACACAGAAAAATAAATGTAACAGGTTGTATTTTTAAACTGCTGTATTATTGAACCAACAGATTTGAGGGATTAGTAATGAATTCATCATTTACTCAGTCTGTCCATGATCTCCTCATCCGTCATCTTGCCCTTCTTCTTCTGTCTGTCCGCAGCCTTCGAGGCAGCGTCTCCCTCTGGACACGAGCTCGGAGCGGGGATGGGCTCGATGACGGAGCGAGTGTACATCTGAACAACAAAACAATAAACAGAAGAGAAACAAATAAATACATTTCCAGTTTGAGAAGAGGATCGTGACGCTGTCGAGGCGACTCACACTCTTCGTGTGCTCCGGTCTCGGGGCCACAATCGGAGGAGGAGTTTCATCGTCGTCGTCGTCGATGTCTTTGATGTCCGGAGAAGACGGCTCGCCGCCTTTTTTCACAGGCTGATTCAGAGCAAAAGAAAAGGTTTCTTGTCTGTATGAGACAAAACACAGCAAAAATACAACAGAATCTGTGTTTTAACAATACTTACAGACTGAGGCCCTGGAGTGAATGCGTCTTTTTCTGTGAATAAACAAAAACAATAAAAAGATGTTTTATGAATTCTCAGATTAGTCACAGATTAAAATACGCTGCTGTTTAAAAGTTTGGAATCGCGGGTTATTAAGGTTGTCAACGATTAACCACTAACAACATTCTTATACACATCGGTCAGTATGTTAATTCAAAGTGCGCCAATAAACTTCAGCAAAGCCAGCGGAAAATAGAAAGACAAGACATTTACAACGTGTATATACAGCTTCGATACGTGAGTCAATGGTACGCTAAATTAACCGCAACAGACATCCCTGTAATATTGATATTTTCCTAATTTCCTTCAATAATAATTATTTTAACACGGATTAAACTGTATAATTCACCAAATATATTATTTACATTTGAAATAGTTTTGGCCCCAAAAGAAGAAGAAATAAATGATTAAAATTTCAGTTTAGTTGACGTCCACCAACAGTGTTGCCTGATAAAGAAATACAGTTGGAAGTATTTTGATTTTAATTACTTTTCCAGTCCAGAGAAGCGTCAGTGACCCTCAATCATTACCGGACCACACGGTGCACCTGGGCTCTAAATATTCAGCTGGACCGTCTGCGGTCTACTCAGAGGTTAGACTGAACACGTTTAACCTGTGATTTGTTCAGCTGATATTCCAATAGTGCGAACCCGAAACTAGCCCTCTGTTTCTATTGAGGCGTATGATGAAGAGCTTCGCTAAAGCAACAGGTTGCCTGTTAGTTACATCTTTTTACAGCCATTTTTATGTGCACTTGACACTGAAACAGGAAGCTGTTAGCATCTAAATCTGCACACAGTTTGATGCTCAGCTTCCAGTTTCTTTCACCAATGACTGCTGATTTCTTACAGTCTAACTCAACTGTTTGTCTCTTTCAATTGTCAGTGCGGTTGAACTGCATCGCACTGTGTTTTGGTCTTTCTAAAGGGGACTTTCTACAACCTAAGAGCATAAAAGACCAATCAAAACAGAGAGGAGTCCTCTCAGACATGACTGGTGGCAGGATATTAAAAACTTTTGGACGTCAGTGTCCGTGTTCTCAAAGGGTTTTATTTCGAGGCTAACCCTCTGTACTGTTTAACTGGTCACTCATTGTTTTACATGAAGATAATATTGATCAAATTCCTCTTTATGAGGAAAGAAAATAATGTTATCTTCTTGAAGACAAAGGGGTAAAGTATAATTTAGGCAATAATTAACTTGCACCTACAAACGAGTCTCTTATTTAACTTGAATTTAACAACTTGATATAAGTGCATATTTCCCTGCAGGTGACTAAATATAAACGTAACGTCTGACTTTAACCTGGAGACTCACCAGAAGATGAGAAGCTGAGGTACTTCTGACGGCCGTTGCCGGTGGAGTCGTAGAACTTGAGGACGTCGAGCACGGCCTGTGGGTTCTTCTTCTGCTCCGACTTGGTGATGTTTGAGGTCTGGAGTAGTCGAGCCCACTGCTCTGGCATGCCCTGTGTTTGACAAAGGCGACGTGCTGTCAGAATACGATGTGATGCGTGTAAAGAGAAGCATGTGTGTGTGTGACAACAACCCAAAAACTCACAGTGAACTCCCCCGTGACAGCGTCAAACCCAACATGTATGGTGTGTTCAAAATCTGAAGGTGGTGAGATCTCTGGTCGCTCTTTGTCTCGATCTTTCTTTCTACCACCTGAAAGTAACCAAAAAGTACTCAATTTCACCAATCACAAACACAATAACACAGTTAAAAGTTAAATATCTTTCTACCAATCTCACCTTTTTCCGCCCCAGAGAAGATTGAGATGATCTTGTTGCGAGGTTTCCTCTCCTCGGGCACCGAGGGCAGCGGTTTAGAGCTGTGGTTGGCCGAGAGGGAGTCTTTGCCGGAGCCGGTGCTGAAGATGGTGCTGCTCATCCTGACCGGAGGGGCGGGGGGTTTGTCCTCGGGGTCTCCATTATCACACATTGCTATAGGTTCGTTGCGGCGCTCACATCAGCAGGAGGCCCGGCCGTGCTCATGCGCTCACGCGAGGATGAGCCGAGAATGACGGCAGAAGAGAGAAGGAAGCACAGAGTGGTACCTGGAAGAAAACCAGACATTCATTGGATCACAAACTTTACAAATACAGCAGAATGTGAGGAAGCAACTTCTTCTATAAAACAAGGTAGTGACGTGTTATATTGAAGCCGTAGTTTACAGGAGTACTGGAACACCACCATCGTCTTGGGCTACAATGATGTAAGTACAGTTACTCAAGAGCCGTACTACACATTTTAAGGTACTTGTACTGTACTTGAGTATGTTATGCTATTTTATACTTCTCTTCCTCAACATTTCAGAGAACAATATTGTGCTTTTTACTTCACTACATATGTTTGAAAATATAATTTACTTTGCAGATTTGAGATTATTAACAACAAAATATAACTAATAAAATAAGATGTTTTATTATGAATTTAAGCTACAATGCAATACATAAAGTAGTTACAATTAACCTTCACCGTAACCAGCTGCAACATGTATTATGTATGATATTATCTTATTATATATTGATGCATCAGTAATTATAATCCAGGGACATTATATACGTTGTTCTGAAATGTTCTGCGTAATAAGTACTTTTACTTTTTGGTACTTAAGTATATTTTGATGCTAATATTTATGTTTTCAATTCAACTTTATTCCAGACACTTAAAAAAACTAAATAATAAATACAATAGTGGGACATTAACAGAGAGATATAATCATTGCAGTTCACAAGTGTTAACAACAGGGGCGGCTAGCTGGAAGCTAACGTTACTTGGCCAACAAGTGTACTAGCTGGAAGCTAACGTTAGCATGAACTACTTGGCCAACAAGTGTACTAGCTGGACGCTAACGTTAGCATGACAAGCTATACCACTGCTGCTCGCTATCCTACGAGAACAACGCTTAGCCTTAAAGCTAATGCTAACTAGCCTGACAACCAAAGTTTTGGGTTTTCCCCACGACAACCTAATATTGCAAGTATGTAGTTTAGTCAACATCACACATATGCTTCCACACTATCCAGAACAAATGTGCTTTATTTGCTTTATTTTGCTAACGAGGCGCAGAGCTCACCGGAGAGTCCACACCAGTTAAACTTTCCTCGACGGTTTGGAAAACGTTTGTAAATCCGTTAAAAAAGTAGTTCCTCAGTGACACGTGGTGTGCGACGGGTACAAATATAAAGTGGGTAAAACGATGTGGCTACAACTATTTACAATGCAACTTTTCATCTATCTTTTTCGGCCCTTGGATTATTCCGTTATGAAGAGAAGGGAAACGGAACTACGACCCAGCCCTGAGCCAAACAATGAATGTTTCAAAATAATGGTCGTGTGAGAAGTTTACCTGGTTTCTGTTACAGCTAATACTCCTAATACTCTGAGATAAGAGTCTTGAAACCATTTAGAAAGATGCACTTTATAGTTCCTCTATCACAATTCAGCTATATTGTACATTTGTTATAGCATTTAAAACATGTATATATTCATTGTAATTTCCTTTTATACAGCTTTCATATTAATTCAGATATATTGTACATATTTTTATAGCTTTTAAAAATATTTTACTGTAATTATCTTCTATACAGCTTTCTTAATAATTCAGATATATTGTAGATATGTTAATAGTATTTTATGTTTTCATTATTATTTTCTTCTAAATTCAGATGTAATGTACAATTTTTACAACATTTATTTCATTGTAATTTCCTTCTATACAGCTTTCTTTTTAATTCAGATATATTGTACATATTTTTTATGTATTTTTCTTCTATATTTATATTCTTTATTAGATTTTCTCTTACTATGTTTACATTAGGTTACCTTAAAATCTACTTGGCAATAAACTGGATTCTGGTTGTAGATCATCATCGACTAAATATCTTGTAAACAACCTCAGTAATAGTGTTTGATTTGAATTTATACCTGTTTTCATTTTAGTTAAAAGTTATGTTTATGAACTAAATTTTATTTTCTATATATTATTATTATTATCTACCTAAGATCTTCCTCGTCAGTGTTTTTGGGTCAATTTGTAAAAAGGAAAAAGTGAGTTCAATGAATCTAAAAGTAAGGAGGTAGAAATTAAAGTATTGTTTAAATTTTGTACTATTTTGTCATTTGTAAGCGACTTATATCACATGTTTAATGTAAACATAAATGTTTATTTTGTTATCTTTATTTTATGAAAATCACAAACTGGAAGTTGAGGTTGAATTGGGTCAAAAATCATTTTATATATATTTTTTTATGTGTCAGCTTGTTAATGTCCTTCATTGAAGCTAAAAGACGTTTATACTGACTGTAATATTTAAACTCTCTGTGTTTTCATGGCCATCAAATGTAAATATTCAAGATGTCTTGCACCTCATCTTATATATATTTCCAATTTAATCAGCCGGACACATTTAGTGTCTGTGGGAACGAGAATCCACATGAACTTAAAGTAAAGTTTATTGTGTTTGAACAATGTGTGGTTGACAACATATGTTTTTACTGACAGACTTAAGAGATTAAAGAAGGAAAATAATGTGATTTATTTCCCACATCATTTATGACCTCTGACCTTCTTGTTGATTTGAGTGAACTTAAAAACAAAACATCCACAAAGATAGAAATAAAGAGACAGAAAGTTTGTTTCTTGTACACATTCTTTTACACCAATTATCTACATCAATGTACATATTGTGATGATAAGATGATAACAGGAGGAATTCTTTCACATTAAGCTGGATTTATCAAAACACAGATGTTTATTTACAGTAACTGAGGCAAAACCAGGAACCGCTTTAATTTAGAAACCTGGACTGATGTAAAATAGATTCTCTGTTTGTGTCCCTCCTTATGATAAGATGTTCTATGTATTTCTCATTTAAAATGATTCATATACACCTGAACTTTTCTATCTGTGCGTGTTAAAGTCTGTGTGGTGTTATTTTTTTATGGCCTTTTGATGTTTTATGTAGAAAACGTGGATCATAGTGATGTCAGGATGATCCTGGTATCAGACAGAACTGTATAACTACAGCATCGTGAACTGTTTGATAAGATATGTTGTTTGTAGTTTAAATGATGTGATGTTTCCACATGTGTTTGGAGAGAGCCACACAGCAGAGCATTGTGACCAGAAGAGTTCCAGCGCACACGGGCGTCACCAAAGACCCGTCACCCACTGGAAACTGAACACACACGAGGCCCCGCTCCTACAGGATACAAGATCATTTTAGATTGAATGAAGAAAAGCAACAATAGACATTTGGTTTCATTAAAAAGTCGGACCTTTTTTCCACTTAAGAGAAGATGTATATAGACCCACCTGATGCTGGAGTTTAACCCACGGACATGTGCTTGAGTTGTCGTGAGTACAGGGGGCGTCCACCACCACATGAGGCTCTACGTTGTGGAGCTGCGTACCTAGAAAGGTTAGAGGAGGACAAACATTAGAGCGGCAACAAATGAGCCGAAAAATGGTCGCCAGCTACTTTGATAATCGATTAATCGTAACAGTAAATTTTATATGCAAAAATGGCACAAAATGCTGTAATTTCCTGCTTTCCTCTGTTTTGTATCATATTTAAGTGAATAACTTTGGATTTTGCACAAAGCAAGACATTTAAAGACATTCCTCGTGGACTTTGAGGAAGTGTGATGGACATTTTTCACTATTTTATGACATTTTATGAACCAAACGATTAATTGATTCATCAATAAAATTATCAGCAGATTAATCGATAAAGAAAATAATCGTTAGTTGCAGTCCTTCAAACAATCACTTCATTTTCCGTCTCCCTCCGCTAAAGGTTTTCGTCCAGTGTTTCTGACAAAGAACCTTTAATAGTTAAGTTATTGTTTTAACCAGATAAGATATTGGAATACTCTCAACTAATAATAAAAAATATATATAATAAAAAACTATTAAAACATATATTTATACAGTTTCTGAGAAGAGAGAGATTCATGACTACATAATAAGAACGAACTGCTTACATTTTTCAGTCCGCAGCAGCAGCTCTGGATGTTCTATGTCGACAGATGTAAACGTTTCTCCATCATAAGAAGGCTCGTGGTAGCGACCGTGAATGGGAATTGTTACTTTTAGTCTGGGAGTTGGTCCATCGAGGGAGGGATACACATATGTGACGAATCCCACAGTCTGGTGAGCAGGCACCTCCAGGTCGATGGCTGAATCTAGTAATATCTTACAGAGGGGAACACATTCATAAATACAAAGAAAATACTTACGTACACGTGCTTTGTTTGGGCTCAGTTTCTTGACAAGTGTCAATCTTACCTGCCAATCGCTTTGCTCACTCAAGGATGCAAGTTGGTACGGATCAACAAAGACACCTCTGGGCCATCGATGAACCAGCACAACTCTGACCCCACTGAGCACATCTGGGCTGAGCTCAACCGTGGTCAACACCTCCCTGAAACACATCAGGAATCCCTCACGAGGAGCCTTGAAGATGGTTATGGCTCCATGTTTGAACACCGTACGTACCTGTGAAAACCCTTCTTGGTGATCTCGACTGACACTAGTGAGGATTCAAGCCACCGCGTTAGAAGACCACAGTGGCTCTCGTTCTCCTTCACATCTGCAAACATATTTAGGTTGTATTGGTCAAGACTTTTTAATATTACAACTGAATTAATATATCTATGGCTGACATTCTTTGTTGGTTCTGATAAAAAAAAAAAGAGATGAGGATCACACAAAAGGTTAATTAAAAATCAAATAAAACGATGTTAGGTTTTCAGGCAGGGAAATTAATTTTAAATTTCAAACTATATAGCCATTACTGCTCGACCAATGGACGAACAAATTAGTTTTTGTTGTAATTTATTTTTGACCCAAGAGACTGATGACACTTAATTATAAACTTAATCCTTCATTACACTTTTAAAAACATATTTCTTTATGAGAGAAGAGGCTACTAATTATACTATTATTTTATTTATTATTTTATAATAAAATAAAATAATTAATAAAATAACTAATACAATTTTTAAATGCATCAGTAAAATAAAAATATTTTATTTTAATAAAAGTATTTTATTTTACTAATAAAAACTACTACTTTCTGTCCTCAGCCTGTAAACTTAAACTTTACCGAAATTAGGTTGGAAGTGTTGGTGACACACAACTAATGAGAGTATCCGTTTAATTTAAGAGGTCTAACAATATAAAATGTGATATTACCTTTCTCGATAAAACAATGACATGTCGATAAACAAGCAAACAAAGAAAAAAATACAAAATACATCAAAATAATGATGGTGAACGACAATAAGCTTCTGACTGCCTGTTTATTTAGCTCCTCAATGCTCTGTTCCAAACTGTTTACGGAAATGAATACTGAAGGACCCCGTTGTATTTCTGGGTAAGCTGTGATAGTGCCTGACTAGAAAGAAAAAAATAAATGGGCATTGTGGGATAACTCTGATGCTATAATTACGTGGCGGTTAGACAAACGGATATCTATCATTTCCATCACTGTGAGTAAAACAATATTACTTTATAATATTTACTCTAAATGTGGACAGGCTTCGGCCAAGACAGAAAAGTTCGGGACCGACTCGTCGCCGGACTCCCAGGCAACGCATCATCCCTGAAGCTTGCTTTTGAAGTGCTTTAATGAGATGTAGTAATTATTATGGTTAAAATGTTTTACTGATGAACTTCCGGTTAAAAGTGAAACCGCTGCGGACGTAAACAGAAGATGAGTTACGAGGCAAAGCGGTGTGGAGTGCAGTTCAGTCCTCCCTCCATAGTTTTATTCTATGAAGACAAGGAAACTAAACATGTGAGAAAAAGAGTTATACCTGTGCGAAACTTCTCGAAATATTCTGGTAAGGCAAGACATTTATTTGTAATAACGACTCATGTACATGCATACACACAATTTATTTAATTTTGTTTGTTTATTTTACACTGGAATCCCAGCAGGCCCTCTTCAGATGCTACAATTGTGTTTGTTTGTTTACAGTACAATTATTGTTCATTATCTCACCATAATATTGTGTTCAGACCCTCAGGGGCCCTCAGGGCTCCAGATGTGCAACTTGGCAATAAGCTTGTGGCAACTTTATCGCACATTAACTGGATTTTAATGGGAATAACATGCACAACTATAGCACCATGTAAACTGCAAGGATAAAGGCTTTAAGGAGGGTCCTTCATTTGTATCAAAACCATCACATTATACATATTCCCTAATATGTTTAATCAAATTTCCTCAAACTGGACAGGAAGACAGGAAGGTTCTGGGGCCCTGGGGATAATGAAATGAACGCTTGCTGGATACTTTAAGCCACCGGGAACAGGGGGTAAATAGGGGCCCCTAACTGGTTAATCTGACCCTGTTGAATCCCTGATCTCTCTCCTTTACCTCCAGACTACAGCATGGCAGCAGAAAGGCTGAAGAACCACCCTCGGCACAGGGACTACCTGGAGAATGTGCCCCAGAGCCAGCTGGAGAAGCTTCACATCATCCTGCGAGATCACATGGAAGGCCTCAGCTTGGAGCACAGCCTGGCCTCGTTCCGCCTGGACCCCGATGAAGACCTCAACAAACTGGACGACGACGAGCTGGCTCGCAAGAAGGGCCAGATGGATGAACTGTTCGAGAAGAACCGGCGGCGCAAAGATGATCCCGACTTTGTCTACGACGTGGAAATGGATTTTGGCAAGACTACCCAGGAAAAATGCAGCTGGGACGAAGAGTCCGATGATGGATTTTAAAAATCTGATATTTCAGACTGCAAATCACCCAAAGTACAGATGTTCTATGAGACAACAGGAACATCTGACACAGCTCAAGTTTACTACACCGTCCATCTAAAGTCACACAGCATCATGTGGCTCTTCTTGCACACAGTAAAGTACATAATAAGCTGCCAGTTTATTAGGTACAGGTATCTATAACTGATGCAGTCTAATGCAACAACCGTTCGATAGATTCAACCTCCATGTAACCCACATTTACAATCAATAAGGGTAGATTAGATATTAGAAAAGGCAACACAATTCAACAAATCTGCAAACTGAAGCGCCCAAAATGTCCATAAAGTTGACCTAAAACAGTTTCAACAAACAGTGAACATTAAAACCTCCATGAAGGTTACATTTAAGCTAAATAACAGCAGCAATAAAAGACAGTATGGACCAACTTCAGGTAGCTTTAAGGCTCAAAGGACATTTTAAAAACACACAAAACATTTCACTTAAAACAGCAATGAATGAAGTATACGAACGCATGAATAATAGGGAATATTTATTTGTTATAAAATACTGAATTTTACAAAATACAAAGACTTTGGCTCGTTTATTTTGTGGCTTTACACCTAACGTGTTATTCACAGTTGAATATGAAGAAGATAGTAAAATCCTATTAAATACAATTTGAGTGTACACCAATAAGTAAGCAATACAACATGTATATATTTATATCTTTGGAGAGAAAAAACAGTGTCCACAAAATATTGTTCCATATCATACAAAACATATATCTATGTATAGATGTGTGTGTTATATATACTGCATTTCCATCTGGTTTTAAAGGAGATAAACTATTTCATAAAACCTGCGGCATCAAACCTCTTCAGGGGGGAATTCATTCAAAGTGCTTCAATCCTTCCTTCAGCTGACACGAAACACTGACTGACCATTAGTACCAAAATACATTCAACAATGTCACAGGTTCTTTGAAAATTGATAAAGAATAAACTTACATTACTTTGCTAGTTTGGTTTAAAGATAATCTACACACATCTATTCTTTTTACAGTGGTATCACTTGCAGTCATTTATGCAGCGCTGATGTATTCCCTAAAGAGGTAGGTAACTGAACATCTGACACATAATTCCTTTTACCACCAAAATTCGGTTTAAAAAAATCGTAATATTCTCAGCAGGCTGTTGATTCTTTTAGAAAATAGTTCTTTATAAAATTTCAAGTATGCTAGAGCCACAATCCAAAGACTTCCGAGAATGTTTGCGATGATAATATTTACACTGCACGATTTGAGAGGAAGGACGTTCTGATTGGTCGGAGAGATAATGATGTGTGAGAGTGTAGCTGTACTCCCAATCCGGATCAGGCCTTTAAAAACAAGCTGTATGACCCATCAGGTCTATGGAGAGTTATAGGATCTGAATACATACATATATATACATATACATATATACACATATATATACATATGCACATATACACATATATATACATATGCACATATACACATATA